AGTACCTAAGCTCGGCCTCCCTTAGGGTCTTTGTAATGTAGAAGATGGCATGCTGGATATCGTCTTCCTCCCGGATGAGCACAGAGCTGATGGCCGCCGGGCTGACCCCAAGGTAGAGATAGAGGGTCTCCCCTACCTTTGGTTTTGAGAGCACAGGGGGTGAAGATAGATACCGCTTGAGTTCGTCGAAAGCCCCCTGGCATTCCGGAGTCCATAGAAAGCCAGCTGTCTTCCTCATGATCTGGAAGAAGGGTAGAGATTTCTCCGCCGATTTAGATAGAAAGCGGTTGAGGGCTGCCAGGCGGCCCGTCAACCGTTGAACTTCCTTCACGTTGCGTGGGGGCTCCATGTTGATGATGGCCTGGATCTTCTTGGGATTGGCCTCAATACCCCTTCGGCTCACCATGTAGCCCAAGAACTTGCTCCCTTGGACGCCGAAGGTGCATTTCTTCGGGTTTAGCCGAAGGTTGAACTTTTGCATGATGGCAAAGATTTCCCGGAGGTCGTCAGCATGGCTGGAAGATTGTTTGCTCTTGACGATCATGTCGTCGACATAGGCCTCCATGGTGCGCCCTAGGACGACTTGAAAGACCCGGTCCACCATCCGGGTGTAAGTGGCCCCTGAGTTCTTTAGGCCGAAGGCCATTACTAGGTAGCAGAAGATGCCCTCGGGAGTCATGAAGGCAGTTTTTTCGACGTCTTCCTTGTGCATGAAAATTTGGTGATACCCTCGGAAGGCATCGAGGAAGGACATGATCTCACACCCCGCGGTCTCATCCACCAGTTGATCAATATTTGGTAGCGGGAATGGATCCATAGGGCACGCCTTGTTGAGATCGGTGTAGTCCACGCACATGCGGAAGGTAGGGGGCTTCTGTGCGAGGACTACATTCGCTAGCCATGAGGGATATTTCACCTCCTTGATGTGCTTAATAGAGAGGAGCATGGCGACCTCTTTCTTCACAAATTCCCTCCTTTCGGCGGAGAGGGGTCTTCTTCGTTGTTGTACTGCTTTTGCCGAGGGGTCCCCCGAGAGGCGGTGGGTGATGACCCTTCGGCTGATTCCCGGCATGTCCTCCGGCCCCCATGCAAAGACAGTGGAGTAGGCGCGGAGGGCGTCGGTGATACCGGTCTTCAAATCTTCAGGGAGCTGGGCTCCAATCTTCACGACTCTCTTCGGCTTGGCCGGATCGAGCGCAAAGTCTTCTACGTCCTTGGCTGGTTCAGCCCTCAGCCTTTTTTCTTCTTGGTCGATGGTCCCGTTGATGGTGTCAACACGGAATTCCGTCTTGCTTACCTTTTTAGTGACCTGAAGATAGTAGGCGCGGGCGATCTTCTGATTCCCCCGAGAGTAGCCAATGCCCCCCTCGGCGGGAAACTTGAGGCAGAGGTGCCTCATGGAGATGATGGCTTCGAGGTCCTCGAGGGCTGGCCGACCGAGGATGATGTTGTGGGCGCAGTCGATGTTGACGACGACGAACTCCACTTCGAGCTGGGCTCTATGGAGCCCGTCGCCGAAGATCACCGGGAGGGTTATTACCCCCTCGGAATCAATAGTGTCGCCGGTGAAGCCGGAAAGAGGGGTCTTAATGGGCCGAAGGGACCCCCTCTCCAGATGCAGCTCTCTGAAGGTGCTGAGGTACATCACATTGACGGAGCTGCCCGTGTCAATGTAAGTTCGGTGAATAATGGTGTCGTTTATTTCAGTCCGAATCACCAAGGCATCCCTGTGAGGAGATGAAGTAGGAGGGAGATCTGCGTTGGTGAAGGTGATGGGTTCCTCCCTTAGTCGCTTTACCGGGGGCATGTGAGTGACTTCCCCCACGTAAAGCGATTGAGCCCATTTCTTTCGCTGGCTGGTGGAATCGCCCCCTGTATTGCCACCGGTAATCATGAGGATGTGGCGTTTTTTCTCCTGGTAGTGGGGGTATTCCTCCTCTTCTTCTTCCAAGTTTCCAATCTCCCTCTTCTTGCCGAGGGGGATGGTATTCGGGTTCACCCAAGCATTTACCTTCGTGTGGTGCCCTCGGGGAGGCCCCTGATGAGAAGGTCCCTCCTGCCGAGGGCTCTGAACAAACTGGGACAGGTGTCCCGCTTGTATTAATCTCTCGATGGCCGTCTTCAGCTGATGGCAATCATCGGTTCTGTGCCCCTGATGCCGATGGAAGCGACAGTATGGGAACTGAGGGTTGATAGCATGTACCTCCGGGGGTGCGCGAGAGTCGCGCTCAACGAGGCCCCTCTCCTCGGCAAAATCAAGGATGATGCTGACGGGGTGCGTCAATGGTGTCCGAGGGCGGTCCAGGAGAATGGGCTGGGCCCAAGTCTTAGGGTTGCTCTTATAACCTCCCCCGGGCTTGGCTTGGCCTTGCCGAGGGCGGTCATCAGAGGGTCCCGAAGCCTTGGGGTGATTTGGAGGAGCCCCCGGCCCTCGGTTGTTTTTGTTGTCAGCCCTCGGGGGCTGCTGATCCGGATGCTGATGATATTTTTCTACCTCCTCGGCCTCAGCATATCGGTCCCCCCGCTGCAAAGCCCTTATGTAGTCGCGAGGGGGTTCAATGATGAGGCTCCTCGTAAAGTTGCCGGTGCGGAGGACGGTGTGTAGGAGGGCCAGGAGGGTCCCGTCATCAGCACCGTCGACTTTGTCGGCTTCCGTCCTCCAGCGCTCCAGGAAGTCCCGAAGGGTCTCATCCCTCTTTTGGCGTATCGTTAGGAGGTGGGAGAAGTGCTTCCTTGTGCGACGCCTCCCGGCAAATTGTGTCAAGAATCGCTGGGCGAGTTCTTGCCATGAATCAATGCAACCCTCGGGCAGCCTGTTGAACCATTCGTATGCCGGCCCCTCTAAGGTGGAGAGGAACCAACGACACAAATATTCGTCTGACGCCCCTACCATCATCATGTTGTTCTGGTATTTGCTGTAGTGTTCTTGGGGGTCCGTTTTCCCATTGTAGGGCTGTATGTGCTGCCCTCGGTATTTTTCCGGGATCCGGGCCGCCAATACCCCGTAGCTGGATGACAGGCTCCCCGGAGCCCTCGGCCACCTTCTTCTGTAACTCCTCCATTTTGGCCATCATGGCCTCGTATTTGAGATCTGAGTGAGGGGTGGAGGTGGTGGCGTGAGCTTTGTTGGACTCCATATCGTCAAGCCGGCGTTGGAGGGCCGCAATAATCTCGTCCCGGGGATCCTTCGGGAGGGTCTCTGCCCCCTGCGAAAGAACCCGGCCCGAGTGGGCCTGGTTGATTTGGTGGCGAGCATCATTGGCATGAAGGGGTGCCTTGCCTTTGTCCCGAGGGGGACGCTCCTCGTCTGCCCTCGAGACAGACCCTCCACTTTCCTGAGGCCTTTGGAGTGCCTTTCCTCCGAGGCGGTCTTGGACCCCTCGGCGGTCTGGCTCTCCTCCGAGCCGGTTGAGGGCAGAAGTGCGGGGCCTCTCCCTGTTGTCATTGTGTCGGTCCCGGGACTGTACTTCCTGGGAGGACGTATCTTGGGCCGCCACCCCTTCGTCATTCCTAACCCGAGGGAGGGGGTTGCCGAAGGGGTGTGGCAGAGGGGGAAGTATGACGTTTTCCCCAACCTGGGGGTGAGCCGGCGCCAGGGTGCCGAAGGCACCCGGGTTCTGAGTGAGCGTTTGGATGAAGGCGGAGAGCGCCGATTGCACGTCGATGGTGAGAACCAGAGGGCTGACTTGGTCATCGCTCCGGTTTTTCTTCTTGGCCTCGATGCCGAGGCGGGCATCGGGGGCATTCTGTTGGATCTGAAGGCGTAGGTCGACAGCCGCCTGTTCCAGCCCAGCGATGACACCGCCCTCGGGAGCCCTGTGAGAGGCTTCGGGGGCGTTGACGTCGCCGAGGGCCAGGTTCTTGTCTTCTACGTTCTTTGAGTTGGCACGTGTTGTTCTCAACATTTTGGTAGAGGGCTAGTGTTTGGCGAAGGGGGAGGGTTTCTTACTCGATTGTTCGACCTCTCAATGAAAGCACCAAATGATGGATAGTCTACCCGGGGGTATATATCCGAGGGGTTATTGCTGGGAATAACTTAGAGAGAAGCCAGAGCAAGTAAATGTAGAGAGAGAGAGTGTATTATAAATGCGGGGCGTTTTCAGCGTGGTTACAAACGGGGAAATGGGGTGCTATTTATAGTAGCAATAAATGCCGGGCAGGGACACGTGTCAAGCGCCTATTGGCCGAGTGGTCACCTCAACTTGTTGGCGTTGGCAGCCGCATGTGGCCGCATTTAATGCGGCTGTTGGATGGGACGTCTGTACAGGGTACGGTGATCTGTACGCATGTGAGGCGGATATCATGTCGGAAGAGGTGTCCTCGGCTGCAGAGGACTAGCCGAGGGCTCTTGGTGCCGAGGACCCCTGAGTGCCGAGGGCTCCAGGTGCCGAGGGCTACTGTTTTCGCCGTTTTCTCCCAGTTTCTTAGTTTGCTTGGAAAACCCATTCCGTGAGAGTTTAGAGCCCTCGGCCAGGGGGCCGAGAGCACCCCTGGTGCGTATTTGCGGGCTGCTTGGTACTCTGGGCGCCGTGATTTGGGCCTTTTGGGCCTTCTGGGCCTGTTGGGCCTCTAAAGGAGTAATAGGAGTCTGTGGGCCGGGTGTTCCCGGGCCATATACTCCATCAAATGTAATGAAGATGGCAATACTTCTCATTTGGTAATACATTAATGTCATGTTTTTTAATTAAAAATGTCATCTTATTTCTGTCAGGATGGCAATAATACCAATAAGATGGCATTACAAGTGTAAGATGACAATTGACTAGTAGTCATACCGGATTCAAAATCAGATTTGAGATCTATTAAAAATGAAATAACTGAAAAAAATCTAGGATTTTTCTAGTATCATTTGAAAATTGCAATATCACTCCTAGAATACAACAACTTTAATGCCATGTTTTTCGTTGGTATGACATTAATGTAATGAAGATGGCAATACTTCTCTTTTGGTAATACATTAATGTCATTTTTTTTAATTAAATATGTCATCTTATTTCTGTCAGGATGGCAATATTACCATTAAGATGACATTAAAACTGTAAGATGACAATTGGATAGTATTCATACCAGATTCAAAATTAGATCTGACATCTATGATGGTAGTGTAAGCGTCGGTGCCAGAGGTCGCACTGTTCACGGAGGTGAGACATGGTGGTGTTGGATGAGGCGGCAGTGAAGACGTCGGATATGGCGGCGGCTGATGGCAAGACCAGCTGAATTCACTGGTTAGGCTTCCTACGACGCATGTGGTGGTGGAGACGGCTATGCCGATGGTGGCGGAGACGGCGACGCCAGCGGCAGTGGCGGCGGTGGTGGTAGCAACGCCGGTGGTGGTGGTGGCGGCGCCGCCGCCTGCGGTGACAGTTGAGACGGCAGATGTTCTGTACCAGGGGACTATTACGGTTGGCCTCTCATATTCTCCTTTATTATTTGATTTTGTATTATTAATAAAATAACCTAATTTGTTCATTAAGGGTATTTTTGTCAACCCCTCCCTTTTTACTCCTACGGAACATTACACTCCTATTCTTGCAATTACATCAACTTTTACTCCCATTTAGGGAATTATCTCCTTTGATTTTCTAACAGAAGCTAATCTTCGCCCCCCAAAAAGTGGTATGTTCCCTCTCTAGGTAGGGTTTTGGTTTTCGAAGCATGTACTTCAAGTCAAGTTTGTAGCAACTGATTTATGAGTTTGTCATAGGGTTGTGATGACAAGTACGATGCTCTATTCTGTCCTTGGAGTTTGGTTTAAGTATGAGTTGGAGTCAACGGGTGTGATGTCTCTTTCGCCTTTGACTCTGATGGCGTCAAATCAAAAATTTGATTGACGCTTCCAGAGTTGGGCGGCGGCTCGCTGAATGCACTGGACTATGACTGGGGTGAGTTGTAGTATGCTTCAATGATGGTTCTACAAATTGGGCGGTAGTCAGGTTGCTGTGGAGAGAGGTACTTTTTCAAACCATATCTGAACTACATGGCTGGATTTTCCATGTGGCCTTCGAGGTTGATTGTTTTGCTTCTCACTGTTAGAAGTTTGAGATTTATTCTATTGGAGGGGCCATAAGCTCCATGTGTGAAGATGTGAAAAAAAGTGTAACCTTGGCTCACTATATTCAAGAAGCAAACATTGCATACGACCTCTAGGTTCTTGTTGCTAAGGTTTTTAAAAAGTATTCAGTTAGTGATGACTTTTGCAATTAGGATATGTGGGTAGAGTGGAAGGTAGTGCAACTTGTACTTTTGTTCCCATCTCGATTTGAGTCAGGAGAGAATGCAACTGCGTCGGGGGAGGTAACATTGGCGGAGAACGGGTTGCGGTTGAGAGTTTGTATCGCTCGTGGAACGTCTTGGTTATCCGCTCCTACGATGATGGAGTTAATCATGGATGTTGATGGTTGGTTTGCAAGAAGAGATGAAAAGGGGCAGATGATCGAGAACGGGGTATCAACATTTGGACGGGCAGAGGTATTGAAGAGGAGACAAATGTGGGAGAATCAAGGAGATCAAGCTTATAAGAATGCGAAGGTGTATGAGGTAGATCAAGCAGGCAAAGAAATGATGCCGGATGATCCACAAAACGGTAGGGAGGCGAGTTGTTGTGTACCAGACCCACCTTGGTATGTGATGAGCTTCTCTCTCACATTGCAGCTTTAGCTTTACCCTATGTCTTGGAGGAACTTTTTATTTCAATTGTTTCCTTTATGGTGTCTACTTTGATTCAGACATTGTTCCATTGTCATTTTTTATATCTCCTTGAGAACTTTGAGGTTTAAGGTGAGTGATGAGAAGTCTTTTTCGAACACTTTTGGCTCAGTTGTGCCCACTATAGAATCATCGAGTTATATTGATTTTTAGAAGATGATTAACTCTAAATATGGTTTGAGGGCTAGTGATCGGGATGCGATTTTTTGCCTTGATGTAACTTGTAACACCGTCCCCAAGTGTATTTACTTTTATGTACATGATATATTGAATCTTATGAAATGGTTAATGAATTTACGAGGTTGTAATTTTTTTGCTATTTCTTTTGCGTGAATAGTAAATTGCACGTGGGACCCACACCGGGAATGGGGACCACCCGATATTCCGGGAACACATATGATGTTCATCTTGGTCTAGATAATATGTATATGGTGGTAGAGATTCTAGTCGGGCCATAGAAAAGGCATAGGGTTGATCGGTTGGTCAAATGAGGCTCAATTACTGGTATTGGTAATTTATCGAATAACAGCCCGAAATGAATTTCGAGGACTCCTAAATTAAAATTGGGGAATGTATATTTATTCTAAAGGTCCATAGTGATTGGGAATATGTGATATATTTTATTTGATCCGATAAAATAAAATATAATTAAAACAGTGTGAGGAATACAACTTTTGGGGCCGAGAGTATACATCGGGAAACAAATGGATGACCTCCCACATATGTGGGGCCACCCCACGTTTTTATGAGCTATTGAGACAAGGGAGGGCTGCTCAATGTGATAGGAAGGTGGCTAGGTGATGTAATTGGAATAAAAAATCTGTGGACCTCACTCTCACACTTATTTGCTAAGTAAGACAAGGAGGAGGGTCTCCTCACCCCCACCCCTCTATCAATTTCGGCCAAGCCACGAAGGAGAGAGAGCTCTGCAAACCTCCATCTCCATTGTTGAAGGAAGCTCAAACAAGCAAGAAGCTCAAGGAAGAAGAAAGATTTGCAAAAGTAGAGTAAAGCCTTGGGAATAAAGGTGAGAAGCTCTTTAGTACTCTTCTTCCATCTCTTAATTTTCATATGATTTATATATATATCATATGAAGGACCCTTAGAATTTTTCTACATGTTTAGAAATGTAGAATAAGAGGTTCGAAAGTACTTCTAAGTCCAAGAATAGACTTAGAGGCTAAAGTGACCGGTTCGCTTTAAAATAACCTTTTAGAGGTTATTTGTATTGATATGGGTTTTGTGATGATAAAACCTTGTTAGGGACTTGTCTAAGGTGTTCCTAGAGCTTTCACGGAGTTGAAATAGTCGCCGGAGTTATTGCTGGAGTTCATCAAAGTTCGCCGGAGTTTCACCGGAGTTCAACCGAGATGGGTAGAACTTCATAGCGCTCATTCGAGGTGAGTGAGCGGCTTAATGTCTTGTAACTCTTGGGTTAAGTATGAGATTACCTAAGGAAATGTTATAAGTATTGATAATGATGTCTAAAAGAGTTTAAACATATGATTAGCCAAGGTGACTAGGCTTATGTGAACTAAAATGGTATATTAAGCATGTAATTGAATAAAAATGCATATAAAAACACATGTAATGTTTTGAATGGCCAAAATGGCATTTATTGATTGGTTTAGACTTAATACAAATTGGGTATAAGTTTCAGACTGAACGGAGCACCTTTCGGGGGTCAACGGGCCCGTTGACCCGGGATAGAAGGCTAACCGGCACCGGTTAAGCTGATAACCGGTGCCGGTTAAGCTGCTGTCTCCGATTTTCATTTTTGCGAAAACGCGTATTGGGCCCGGATTGAGGGGGAATTAACCCCGGCCATCCTATATATGTATACTCCCTCCGTCCCATTGAACTTTGACAACTTTCCTTTTTTTATTGTCCCAAAAAACTTTGCCACTTTCCTATTAAAGCAACTAATTTGTGGTTCTGCACATTTCTCTCTCCTTTGCACAAATCTCAACCACACAGTTTTTACTATTGTTTATTCTCACCTACTTTGCACTTGGCAAAGTCCACCGGGACGGAGGTAGTATTTTGCATGGAATTGCATGGAATATGATGTCTAGATGCTAAGGCTTGATGATTAAATGCTAAGGCTTGGATTAGTCATTAGTGACGATATGATATAGACCCTATCTATGTATGATATGTGGTAGATCATAAGAGTATGTATAAATGGTGGAGGACCGAGGGACTGAATCGTCCTCAAAACTTATATGTATAGATGGTTGAGGACCCAGGGACTAAATCGTCCTCAAAACTCATATTTATAAATGGTGGAGGACTCAAGGACTAAATCATCCTCAAAACTCATATATATAAATGGTGGAGGACCCAAGGACTACTAAATCATCCTCAAAACTCATATATATATAAATGGTGGAGGACCCAGGGATTGAATTGTCCTCAAAACTCAGAATATAAATTGGTGGAGGACCCAAGGACTAAATTGTCCTCAAAACTCGGAATATAAATTGGTGGAGGACCCAGAGACTAAATTGTCATCAAAACTCATATATATAAATGGTGGAGGACCTAATGACTAAATCATCCTCAAAACTCATAGATTACTATTTAGTAATTTAGGACCGGGCGGTGTTCTTAAGATAGTTGCTTCAGATCAAGAGGAGTCATATACACTTATAGGTATATGGGTGGGTTGGGATTTTGATTCAAGAACATTGACTATTGATATTTTCCCAAACAAACAATGACCTACGGGTCAGGTATTTTCCAAGTGTATGTATATATTGATATGTATTTCATAACTTGGGGGAAAGGACTATACATGTATGTATCACCCTATGTTGAGGTTTTATACTTGAAACATTAGTTATCTTACATTTAGCCTGTTGCGCGCTCGATATTCGCGTACTGACCCCTTCCCCCCCCCCCCACCCACCATTTCAGGTTGAAGATAGAGCTTGCTACCTGCACCTTTGCACGGGTGAAGAATATCTCAATTAAGACGAGGTTTGTGCTTCCTCTACTGTTTCAAACTATAAACTATGCTCATGGATATCTTATGTAATGAATACTTTGTTTTGGGCCTGCAAGCATACATTTTGCCACATATGACTCATGATTGACTATTGAATATTTTCGCTATTCATTCAATCTCTAATGTGATGTTGTTATGTATGTTACTTACTGAGTATGGTATGAACGGTGTTCATGAACGCCTTGTATGATTAAGTGAGGTTGACTTGCGAGTGACATCACTTGATCATACGGCGGTTGTACACACACTTAGATGCGGTTTCGGGTGTGACCTAACTTGATTGGATTCCGGTTTGTTGATATAAGTCATTTACTTTAAAAAGGGCTAAGCTAGTTCTTCCTTCAAAAGCAAAGAAAGAAGACAAAAAACATAATACCATGATGAAAAACACCTGGCAGTATAAGTCATGTATTTTCGAAAGATTAAGAGCCCGTTAGGTGATTCTTTTTTCGGTTTATCAGACTTATCAACCAACTTTTTAATCAAACACGTAACTTTTGATTTCACGCACTAAATTGTATAAGAAAGGGTAAGGTTGGATTTACTTTTCTTGTTGTATTGGTTGAAGTTACTGTAGATGACTATTTTAGCTATTTTTTCATATAAGTTTTTCTTTATTTTATTAATAAAATATATTTTAAAAATATTTTTTTCATAAATCAACAGAATCAGTAATACAGTCACTGTAGGC